TGTATGCTATATGGGGGTTATTTCATGTATGTTATTTTTGCAGCAGCAATATTTCTTACATGCTCACAGCAGCATGTTGTGGATGTATTGGCAGTAGCAAGTCTCGGTACTTGCAGCAGCAGCAGCGTAGCAGATCTATTCCGCCAAGACCAAATACATTAACATTGTCATCTACATTACCATGCCAATCCCTCCGAGAGTTGTCATGACAGACATATATATTTTTTTCCCATTTCCATTATTAAAAATAAATAAATAAATAAATAAAAATGTATTATTGTTCTTGTTATTATTTAAATGATCTCAGATGATAGCCACATCTATGCTATGGATTCCATAAGACAATCATTTAAAGCTTATCAACTAAAGATACATATTGAACAGCTTTTATCTCTGCATACACACCCATGGCAGACCAGTTATTGACACTCTTGTCCGATGGCCTGTAAATGAACTTGCGTAGAGTTGTGACGGCATTAGAGCCAACTAGTGTGTAACGACCAAACGCCCGGCAGTCCACCACGCGGATGTTCAGAGGAGGATGGAGGAGCTCGTTCTCTGGCAGGTCCTGGTGAAAAATCATGAACATTGTCAAATGTTTGTAGTGCAATCAACATCATTTTGAAAATATCTCATACTTTCTGAGTTATAAACGTGCAAAAACTCACCACTTCAAACCACTTCATCAGAGTGCTGAAGTTGGGGTTTTTCTTGTAGTTCTGAATCAGCGCTGACTGAACACCTTTCCCTGCACACTCGATGTCCACACGGGGGCGGTCAACTTGAGCCAGATTCACTCGCTTCAGGTCCCTCAGGCCCCAGAAAAGAACCTGCATGCATGTTTCGTTAATTTAATGAGATTCAATGAGATTTTTTTTTTGCTGTACAGGGGTAAACCCTGGCATACAGAGGCAGAAACTCTTTGGTTCTGCACAAATCACATAGGATAAATTACATATGTTGGATTCAAAACAGCAAAATTCACCAAATGGTCACAACTTTGGGGCGCTGTTAATTTTATACCTACAATAATTGTGGAACTTACTTATCAAATATAAAAATATTGTATTTTTGTTTTTAGAAGTTCCATTTAACATCCATTTGATGCAAATTGTGATCTCCCAGGCCCCAATATGGACAAAATTATTGTTACATTTTTTTGTGTGTGTCTGTGTGTGTGTGTGCTCTCTTATGATGGCTGCTTACCTCTCTACAATACCATTTTAAAATGTACAAGAAATACTAATAAAAAGCATTGGGTGAAGGGATTGCAATATAAGGATAATTTTGGTTCCCCACAAAACCTTTCAGTTAACAGCTCTTATAACAACTTTTTTTTTTTCTTAGTGTGAAGAACATTTTAATAATCTGAAGAGCCTTTTTCCACTATGAAGAACCTTTTGTGAAATGGAGATGTTCCATGGAAATTAAGGCTTCTTCATGAAACCATTGCTGGCAACAAAGAACCATGATATTTAAGACTGTAGATCAGCAATAGATTCTAGGTCACCCTGTAGCTGTTCTACTACGAGCAACTCACCTCAATTCGGTATTTACTCAAGACAGGTCTTATGCCAATAGGAACCGGCAGGATCGGACCACGATCGATATCGGAAGGTCCATCTATTGGGGGCAGGTCGGCCTTTCCAGCTGGTCCAATCTGAAAGATTTCCACAATACATAAGTATACATGCACACAGACAGACTAAGATTTAAACAGTTTCTTGTTCCTGTTAGATGCACCTGCAGCAGCTCAAAGGCCGCCAGCATTTCTCCTGCAGTGCCGTTTCCCCGGTAGATCTGGTAGTACTCTAGTTGAGGAGGGAAGCGTGGCGGCCCATAATGCTCGTCTGACATCTTGGTTATAGGTTTTGCGAATGTCCTACCCATGAAATCGGCTTTTCCCTTGAGAAGTAGAATGAGATTGAAAATTAACCGCATTTAAGAAGGTGAAAGCATGAAAAGCATAAGGAAATTAATAATTCGAAGGATATCAGCACTCACGACAGTGTCCTGATCATAGATCTCGATGACGATTATAGGAGGATCATCTCTCAGTTCACCAGCCTCACCATAGAGCTCCACATTATCAAACACCAGCAGCTGATCCCATGTAGGACACAACGTCTCATTCAGGATCTGAGAAGAAATCATCAGGTATTAAGCCTTCCTTCTAGCTTCTTTATGCAGTAGATATTAGGTGGCATTGTACTACATCACATCTCAACAGTTCAATGCTCCACCGCTCAATAAGTAAAGCAGCACCAAACAGTTCAAGCCTATCAAGTGTTACTGTATGTCCAAAAGAAGACTTTTCTCTGGGCTGGTTGTGGCCTGATGGTGCTGACAAAAAGGTTTCGAGGTTTTGCATCATTAGAATTGAATTGAGACTCTATATTCCACTTTAATTCCTGAACATGAAATGAATGTGAGGTGATGTAAACCTGATGTAGAAATTTAATTCAAATGTCAATTTAAGTGTGTAAAATTAATTAATATGCTCAAATTCAAGTGTAATTTTTAATCATATTAATTTTATCATATAAAATTAAATTATGTTTTTGTAGCAAACAGGATGTGGAATTGTAATGTAAAGAAATTATTAAATTAAATAAATGCATATGCATATAAATTCACATAATTCAAATTAAACTTTTTAACAGTATTTTTTATAATAATAATAATAATAATAATAATTGTATCATATAATATTAAATCATATTAAAATAAAAAAATATTACTATACATTTTATTTTCAGATTTAATTATCTTAAATATAACTATATTAATAATCATCATGTTTGAAATGCCACCTATAAATATTCAATAAATGAACTTTCATTGGTTGAAGAAGACTTGATTTCACAGAATGCTCTGATTTATTCAGTAAATTATAAGAGTAATGTATTCATATAGCATATAACATGAATACATTCATATTTTGTCTTTAATATTTATTTTGATAAAGTTTAATTATGACATATTTTACATAAATATGAAGAAACATGGAGAAATATGCGCAAGAAGTATAACAAGTCTTTCAAAATTTGGTTCTGATTTGTTCATATGCTTAAATGTGCTTATTACATTCAAATGTCAATAGTACGTTTGCATGAAGCTTTTATCTCACCTCTGTGACCTGGCTGTGGGTGGAAAAAAATACCCTGGCAAAAGGGTCTGACAGGCCTGTGCTGTCAGCCGCAAACAGACTGCGAGCCTGATACATGTGAACCCTCAGCTGGAAGATCTGCTTCACTGTTAGCATACAATAAAACAAAATATTCTTATCATCACGATTATTACACAGACAATCTGGGGCCATTCATATAAGTTCTTGGGAATCTTACTTGTGTACATCAGGCTTATAGGGGGTGAAGACATGCCAGGCCCTTTTACTGCCTTGTTCTCCTCAAACCCATTTGGCAGGCCGCTCAAGTAGTCCTTACGCTGCCTGTTCAAGCCGAGCCACAGATACAGCTCAGTTTTAGCCTGAACGGTCCAGCCTGCAGGTCCAAAGCTTTTCTTACCAGGGAGCTAAAAAGAGAAGAACAGTCGTAAAAGAAAGTAAATTAGTACTTGTTTGAGTTCGGGAAGCGCTCTTTCGCTGGAAGATCCTTCTACAGCACATTCAACTGTGTTTCCGCTGGCTGTTAGCACAGATAAGTGCTGTGATTCCCCTGGGCACTTCAGCATGAAAGAGCAGTTTCTCTAAGAGAGCAACACGGATGAGAGTGTCTTTTTAAAGATTTCTCTTCATCCGTGCATTTCTGGATGCGGTCGTTTCCTTACTCCTTCTAACGATCACGATCGTCTGGGCCATAAGCATGCTGAGACAGCGTTCATGGATGCTTCATATGCTCATTGTGAGAGCATGACCATGGCAACACTGAGATCTTGGCTCTTACTTGTTGTGGTGAAGGAACCCCACTTTGCTCCTAGTGTCCAGGATGCAGAGCTCCAGAGACTCACACATATTGTGCAGGGGTTTTCTGGTTACAGAATCCCAATGACTTACTTGCCCCTTCCCTTTAAATACCCAGACCAGAACAAATAAATCTTTATATCTAAGTTGTAAAACAGAAGACCTATTGGGTCGTCAGGATCCTGTGTCCCAAGAGTCACACCTGGTCAGAGATCGGAAAACAATCTAATCAGAGACACTGTGAAACTGAGACCATTTTACCAATCACACTAAGACATTTAAAATGATACCAAACATGGTGGTCCTAGCATTTCAATGATCAGATGTCAATTGCGGCATCAGAGGAGGGGCCAGAGTCCACAGAGGATGGTTGCAAAGTCAAAGTTCGATTCTGAGCTGATGTGTCTAGTCAAACACGAAAATCAGGCTTGAGTGGAAGTCTCCACCAAACCTGGAGTGTTCACAGCTGGATGATTGGTTTCTGGGTGCGGGATGTGACACTTAGCCATGCTCCGTCTGAGTGCCATTCTTCTTGGAGTTGCATGAGGAGGTCACGAAGCCTTGGAAGGCATCTTTTACTGCCAGAAGCCACTTTGCTGCCTCCTCCTCCCTCACTACCAGGGCCATCGAGGGTTACATGGAGATCTCCTAGGCAGAGCATGTGATTGCAGTGCTTTTATGCCCGCAAAGTGCAGCCACCTGGGCTGCGTTTCCCGATAATGCTGTCTCTTTGCGCGCTATGAAGACTCTAAAGGTATGCCTTAACTAAAGGTGTACCATTTCTAGGCGTGTTCCCCGAACTATACCTTAGGAGGTTGTTTAAGATATACCTTCTTAAGTGCAACGCTACGAGGTGCCGTCCATGGCGGTGGTACTGAATTGGTTGATATCAATGGCTCGAGAACCGATTATTCATTATATGCACTGGCTGCTTCACTGCGTTATGTGAGAAAGCGGTGTTCTTTATAAAGGAAGTGTTGATTTTAAATAAAGACACAAAACTCTTTCCTGTTAGAACGCAACAAACTTGCTAGAAACTTTTACTTTCGCTTTGCAAAATACATCACGTCAGGGAAGAAAACCAAGGAAGAAAAATATATGCCCAGAGCACCTCCCAGTGATCATCACATAAAATACAAGGGAAAGAAACTACATGACACACTGCTCAATAATTTAACAGCTTTTAACAAAAGAAAAAAATATATATACACACAATTCCAGCAGAAAAACATTCTGGTAAGAGTGCTTTCCAACAAGAAGCACTTCAGAAATAGTTGAAATTGCATTTATCAGGACTCATGGGATCTTATGAAAATAATCCAAATGACAAACTACATCCAACCCTGAATATTTTATAGAATTTTGTAATGACTGTGCAAACATGTGACCTCAGGCCCAAACATATCATGCCTCAACCTGCTACACTGGCAGTATGCCTTCACTGCCCTTTGAAAGGGTCATTTATATTATCATAATATATTTGCCATAGTGTCTTCATTTACTCCACAACCAAGGTTGATTGTGCAGCAGCTGTATCACATTTTTGGTGTAAATCACAAATTTCTGTAATTGGATGACCTACTTAATAAAAGCACAACACACAAAACATATAATCAACAGCTACTATGGTAGACAAAAAAGAAAGAAAGAGAAGAGCCCCCAGCTTCACTCCAACCGAAATGGCCTTTCTATTCGATGAATTGGCACACCACAAAGATAAACTTTTTCAAGGTTTCGGACAACAGTGTCCAACAAAACAAAAAAAGATCTCTGGGAAAGCATAGCCATGAAAATGGCAGCATCAAGTTCCAGTTCACAGAAAGAGTGGGAAGTTATGCGTAAAAAGTGGCATGATTTTGCTAGTGCAGCCAGAGCGAGAGGTGCTGCAGTCTGGAGAGACCAGGCAAGAACAGGTGGTGGGCCCAGCTCTGTGCCTGCACTCACCCCCGATGAGGAAAAGGCCCTGGCAATCCTTGGAGAAGCGGCCTCACAGGGTATCTTGGGGGGTATAGATCTGAGAGCAGGTGTGGATACCACTCCATGCTCTCAGAGCACACCATCCTTGATTCCTTGCACCCCCATGCCCTCTTCCCCCTCCAGCACCGGCATCACCACACCTGTCTGCACCTTCATTGGCCTCCACTCAGGTCGTCCAGCACCAGCAATCCAGGAGTGGTTCCAGAAGGCATCCTTCTATCCGATGTAACTGCAGTGAAGAGCTGGTGGAGCTTAAAAAGTAGAAGCTGGACGTGCTGCGGGGGATCTAGCAGGGGTTACAAGAGGCCAACAACCTTGCCCGGTCCATGCTGGAGGTGAAGAAGGTGAAGCTCCAGATTCTGGAAAAGCAGTATGCTTTGTCTGAAGCTAAATTTCAAAGGCCAACCATTTCAGTTCCAATCATAATGCCAGGTCAAGGTAAGTTTGATTATGATGCTCAGTACAGTCCAATGTTGTATGTTATCTTTTTGTTCAAACAATTTGATTACAGATTAACTATCACCAACCCAGTGACTGCGGGTTCCAGGAAAACAGACCTTTCATGTTTATTTTCAATTATGTGGAGTGTTTTTGTTTGAATAAACACTAATTTGATTAAACACAAACTATTATTTTAACAAAGTGTTGACTCCTAACAATGTCATGAACTAAATTTCTTATAAACCGTGACTTCCATGTTGAGGTATGTGTATTCTGAAGCCACCTGGAAAACTAATGTACCTTTTGACTTATTATAAATTTAGATGTGTTACAATTGCAGTGGGGACTGATGTAAACCCTAAACTCGGCAGTGCACAACTGCAACAAAAAATGGCAGGGACATGTCCACAAAAAGGGGGAATGTTGTGTAGTGATGTAAAAATAAAAATAGGGTGCAAAATATACTTTAACCAAAAATGGAGTGAATGAATTGCTGCCTCATTTGTACACCAGCAGCATGTATGGCATCTCTTAGTTCAGGTGGGTTGTGGACACCTTCTTCCTCCTCTTCTGGCAAAGCTGCACCTCCACTGACTGCAATGTTGTGTAGCATGGCTGTAACTACTGCTACTGCACAACATTTTTCTGGCTTCAGACACAAACCTCCAGCTGATTTATGCAGGCACCGGAAATGCATCTTCCAGCGCCCAATCGAGCGCTCCACCAAGTTGCGGGTATGGATGTGTGCATTGTTGTAATTGTGCTCAGCCTGCATGGTGGGGGTGGGGTTGGTGACTGGATCTAAAAGATAGGTTCTTAGAGGGTAGCCGCTGACTCCAAATAAAAGAGCAGCGCAGTTTTTGCAACAAAAAACGACAAATGAAGGCCTGGTCGAGTGCTGATGGGTTGGTGATGGGGATAAGTGTCCCGTCCACAAGGCCTATTACTCGCGGAATACTGGCAATGGCATGGAAGCCTAGATGCGCCTCCATCACTTTGTGCCTGGTGGAAAGCATCCGGATATAATCAGTGGCGTGATGGAGCAGGATGTTTGTGACTGAGTGAACACATCACCACACCGAGGTCTTACTCAGCCCATATCCATCCCCAACCCTTTAGAAAACTCCCCACTGCATAAAAACGGAGAGCCGCCAGCAGCTGAATTTCGGGGCTGAGGGGGTAGCTCCGTTGAGTTTGTGAAAAAGTCGGATGAACAAGATCTAAAAGCTGTCAAGCTTTTATACATTATCTACATTACTTCACAATATCTACATTAAACCATCCTTTAATAACAGCTTCTTTCATCACATTGTGACAGATTCATAAAGCAATTTGTGCTAAAATGTACTGCAAAAACTGTTCAGAACAGACTGAAATGATCAGGGATCCTTTTGCAAATAAACTTGAATCAACCCACACTGATACATTCATCACAAGCTGTTTTGGAAGCTTAGATAAAAAGTTTTGAGTTGTTTTCATAATACAATACATGTGGCCCCTTTCAAGATAAGCATTCTGACATAAAATGTTTTTAAGACATTTTATGAATTTGAGTGCATTCATCCTAACCTTGAAAAAGATGGTCTGGACTTTCCCACAGTCCTTTCCGGTTTCTTCGTCCACAGAAGAGAAGAGGATGTCTTTGGAGGGAACACGGGCATATGCAATACGTTTGTTGTTGCTTATCATCCATATGTAAATATCTGGAACACTATGCTGAGGCTATGATGAAAAACAAAAGGATTTACATGAATATTTTTACAGTGACTCATCTATATGGCCTCATAACCTAGCATATTTTTATTTTATCAGCTTTTGTGCACTACCTCATCAGACAAGAATCTCAGCTTGTGGAGGAAGTTTTGTGCAAGTTTTATTTTGTCTTTCACATTGCTTTTCTTTACTTGGGATCGCATATTCTTTGCTTGCTGGCCCATGTTTTCCTGAAAAAAATTACAACAAGCTTTACAACAGACATATAAATAGGCCACCAGAATCAGATTTTAACATTAGTTACTATTAATATGCATTAGTAACGGCTGCTTTTACCAATTCCTGCATGCATAATTTCAGTCTCTCCCGGTCCAGTTTAGTCTTCCCAGCCTGATTCTGATCATTGTTTGCCAAAGTTACAAAGGTACTGAAAGAGATTCACTGTTATTTTATCTTTTCTCTGTCATAGATGGTTGAATGAAGATTTGTGAAAATATAAAAATTCGCTCTCAGGAAACAAATTTTCAGGATTTTTTTTTGTTTTCATTTTATTTAAAATGTTACTTCTGAATTATCAAGAAATCATGCTTTACTAACTACCACATACACTACCAGTCAAGTGGTTCTTTGAAAAATGCTTACTGAACCTCCAAATGGAGCACAAATAGCACTGTTTCCAGAGAACCACTCATAACGGTCTCAAGATTTGCAGAAATATACATGTATACAAACCTGCAGCCACTGCTGAGTTCCTCCAGGACTCCTCTTAGTCTGCGCTCAGGATAGGCTTTCTCTGTTTTAATGATCTCCTGCACATCATTCAACCCTTCTTCCTATAAAATGATAGAGAATACAGGTTGCAATGTCAATGTATTGATGTATTTTCACAGATTAACCCTCTGGGGTCGACAAACGCGCCGGCGAGTTTTGTGGCATTTTTTCTTAAAACCCCTAAAGGAACTTAAATTACTCCGTCATTTTTGATCGTAGAGATAAGAGCAAAACATCAATTGAATCTCTAAAGGATCTACTTTCATTTGTATACACACATAATAACAACAAAACTTTGTGCTTTTGTAAAATAAAGAAAACAATTCTTTTGTCTGCCGCATTGGTCTCCGTGATCTTCATTTAGAAACGCGTCACTAAAATTAACTGAAACTCGGCGAATACTCGACACAAAGAAATGCGAGATATATCTAGAGAAAGCTTGACATGTCTACTTTTAAAAGCAGTAACTCTTATTGAAAAACAAATATTCTCTGGTAAAGTAATCCATATGAAACCAACACGATGTCGTCTTTCCCGTCTGACTTCATTAGAGTTAATTTGATCACGCCCATGAGCTACTTTCGCTTTTGATATTACAATAGTCCACGTGAGACGCGTGGCATGTAAATGCCCACATCACAGCAAACAAAGCAGCAAGACTGTTCTTCAAGTTCATCTCGGCTACTGTTTATTTCTGGAAAAAGATGCGCTGAAGAAGGCCGAAGAAAGTGAGAGAAGGCCGGTCACTCACTGTCAAGCAGTTTCAGAAACTGCTGGGTCTGATGGCAGCTGCGCCCAACATGATACCTTTTGGCCGGCTGTACATGAGACCCCTACAGTGGTGGCTCAAGACCTAGGGGTTTTCCCCAAGGGGCAACCCACTTCGCATGATCAAGGTCACGCAGCAATGCCTACGTGCCTTATACATGTGGAGGAAACCTTGGTTTCTAGTCTCAGGGCCTGGTGCTGGGAGCTCTTTGTCGTCACGTAACACTAACGACGGATGCATCCCTCACTGCTTGGGGAGCAGTCATGAGTGGCATGGTCTGTGGAGTGGTCGCCATGTCACATGGCACATCAACTGCCTGGAGATGCTGGCTATGTTTCTAGCGTTGAAACACTTCCTCCCGGACCTAAGAGGCCACCATGTGTTGGTGCGCACTGACAACACAGCGGTGGTCTCTTACATCAACCACCAGGGAGGTCTAAGTTTGCACCCCCTTTACAGGCTGGCGTACCAGATCCTTGTGTTGGCCCAAGGGAGACTCCTCTTGCTGAGATCAGTGTACATGTACATCCCTGGGCATCTCAATCAGGGAGCAGACATCCTGTCGAGGCCTGATCTCCCCTCTCCCTTGGGGGTCAAGGCTCACTCGTCCAGAAGTTGGCCTTCAGGACGCTGCGGGATGTCCACTACGTTTACTTGTCAGGTTCTATACCTGCATTTTGTGCCACTCCTGGCTCCTTTCTCTCACCTTAGCTGTGCTCTTCCACACTAGGCAGGGACTTGCAAGTCTGCCGTCGTGGGCATACTCGTTCCCAAAGCGTTTCGACGCAGCTTGAGTTTCTGAAGGGGAACGTCTCTAGGTTATGCATGTAACCATGGTTCCCCGAGGGAACGAGATGCTGCGTCTCATTGCCATACTTCCGGCATCCCTGCGAGCGCTTCACTCATTCTACAGAATTCTCATTCTGCTTTTAAGCTCCCTGGTCTCTACGTCACCCGTCCGTGACGTCTCTCCCATCCATTGGACTGATTACACACGTGATTCAGAGCGTGGTCACACTGAAGGCGTTCCCAAAGCATTTCAACGCAGCATCTCGTTCCCTCAGGGAACCATGGTTCCTTATCTGTCGGTCACTACGAGTTATGTCGAACGACATATGGGGTCTCACTTGGGAGGCCAATCATCTCTGAGTTTAAGAGAAAACGCCAATGAAAATTGGCTAGTGGATTTTGCATGCTGAGCCACTCCCTGTGCCTACAGGTATATAAGGCAAGGCAAGGCAAGGCAAGTTTATTTGTATAGCACATATCCACTCATTAGATTTTTGCTTCGGAGCCGAGTGGTTGAATGAAAAGCTGTTATACTCCACAAAGCCATTCATCTGCTGTGTGTCGGGAAGCTATTCTGGTTGGTGGTACGGCGCGAACAGTGGTGTCCCTTTCAGCAATTCCCCTGGGCGTTTCAACTAAAAGAGCAGATTTCCTAAAAGAGCAAATCACGGACAATTCACATCTTTTTAAAGACGCCGTTTCGTCCGTGTCCTTCTGGATGCGGTCGTTTCATGTCCTCTGGCAACGATCACGAGCGTTGTCTTCCATGTCTGGGCATTCAACACACTGAAGACGCGTTCGTGGATGGTTCATGCCCACTCTGCGAGTGCGTGACCATGGCAATGCTGCGATCGCGTCTCTCCATTCTTAAAGTGAAAGGAACAGAACCCTCTGTCACTACCCATCCTGGTTTCTCTGGCACGAGCAGAGGACCGCCGGTTAGTGCTCTGGGAGATTTGAGGGTGACAGTGAGAGCTTCTCCGCCAGGCCACGCCCCACGGACCTCTCACCCCTTCCGCAGCGCTTGTCCTGTGCGGCTGCTGAGTGATTTTGCTGGGTTGTCTTATGGTGGTCCCGGCATGTCATTCGGTGTGCCGCGGGGGGATCAGATGTCGATTGCAGCATCGGGGGTGGGCTTTTGACCGCTGAGGATGAAGATTCGGCGGGGCTGCCCCCTCGGGTGTTGTCGCCACTGCTGAATCGGACCCAGAGTTGACGGTCATGCTTGCCCGGGCAGCTGTGAGCATCAGGTTGGAGGTGAATACACCGCCCAGACCTGAGCGCTCGCAGCTGGATTATTGGTTTCTCAGTGCGGAGTGCGGCTCACAACGTTCTGCTCTGGTTTCTTTTCTTCCCAGAGGTGCATGAGGAATTGAAGTAGTCGTGGACGGCCCCTTTTACGGCCAGAAGCCGCTCGTCTCCTTCCTCCGTCCTCACTACCCTCGATGGGGGGCCGGCTAGGGGGTGCGTCAACATTCCCCAGGTGGAGAGCCGCCGGGGGATCATATGTCGATTGCAGCATCGGGGGATGGGCTGTTGACCTCTGAGGATGAAGATTCGGCGGGGCTGCCCCCTCGGGTGTTGTCGCCACTGCTGAATCGGACCCAGAGTTGACGGTGCAATCCTGCAAGCTCACCAAGCCAAGGCCTTAACAAATGCACGAGGGTAGTACCGGCCCGAGGTTGATGCAGGAGCTGCGTACGGCGACTGACTTTGCCCTCTGGGCGACGGAAGTCCCGGCGCGGTCCCTCGAGAAGGCGATGTCCACTCTTGTCGTCCAGGAGTGCCATCTCTGGCTCAGCCTGGTCGAGATGAGAGATGTTGACAAAGTGCGCTTTCTTGACGCTCCCATCTCCCTGGCTGGCCTGTGCGGTGATGCTGTCGAGGGCTGTGCCCAGCAGTTCTCAGCAGTACAACAAGCAGACTGAGGCCATACAGCACATCTTGCCCCGACGTGATCCTCCAGCTGTCACCGTTCCGTCGCGGGGCGTGCCTCAGCCTGAGACATCGTCGAGGCCAGCGCATCGAGCCCTACGCAGAAGAGCAGCGCCCCCCATTTCACATTCGGCCGCTAGATTCTCTAGGAAGATGATGAAGCGGCCCTGACACGGGCAACCCGGAGATGTGGGAGACTGCTCTTCAGGAGGTGCTAAGGACAGCACCGCTCCTTACCCCGGAGGAGGGCCGGGTGGGGAATCTTTTTCTTTCTGTTCCGCCGTTGGCTTGATGGCCAGCGGTAACCATATTGTCAAAGAAAGAGCAGTTTCCTTTTCCTCTGGGTTGCTAGGCTCGTGGGTTGACAGTGAGCGATGCACCGCTTCCTCACTCTCACCCACGACGCCCCCTATCGCCAGTGGCCAAGAGGTCGCGGTTCGGAGACGCAACACCTCTCCACGCGTCTCTGGCCAGTCCCTCCGGGGACACGGGGAGTTTTGCTGAGTTTGCGGAGTTTGGGAGCGTGGCTTGTGTTGCCCAACCTGTCCTGCTGGCTCATTTGACTCGGCTACGCGATTCAGTTTGCCAGGTGTCCTCCCAAGTTCAATGGCGTTCTCGAGACTTCGGTGGCAGTCCGAGACGCCTTTGTCTTGCGTGAGGAGATTGCTGTCCTGTTGGCGAAGGATGCAATCGAACCGGTCCCTCCAGCCGAGATGGGGTTTTACAGCCCTTACTTCATCGTACCCAAGAAAAGCAGTGGCCTTCGACCTATCTTGGATCTGCGAGTCTTGAATCATGCCCTTCACAAGTTCTGGTTCAGGATGTTGATGCAGAAACGTATTATCAAATGCGTTCAGCCCAGGATTGGTTTGCAGCGATCGACCTGAAGGATGCGTACTTTCATGCTTCAATACTTCCTCGTCACAGGCAGTACAAGGTCCTCCCCTTCGGGCTCTCTCTGTCCCCCCGTGTCATCACGAAAGTCGCGGAGGGTGCCTTTGCCCCACTATGGGAAGTGGGCATCAGGATCCTCAACTATCTCGACGACTGGCTCATTATGGCCCGGTCACGAGAGGAGTTGTGCAATCACAGGGACTTCGTGCTTCAGCATCTCAGTCAGTTGGGGCTTCAGGTCAACCGAGAGAAGAGCAAGCTCTCCCCTGTGCAGAGAATCTCTTATCTCGTTATGAAGTTAGACTCTGTGAGTATGACGGCACGTCTCACCAACGAACGTGCCCAGTCGGTGCTGAACTGCCTGAGTTCCTTCAGAGGCAGAACAGTGGTACCACTGAAAACTTTTCAGAGGCTCCTGGGGCATATGGCATCTGCAGCCGCAGTCACGCCGCTCGGATTGCTTCATATGAGACCACTTCAGCACTGGTTACACTCCCGAGTCCCGAGATGGGCACGGCGCCACGGTACACATTGTGTCACCATCACACCGATGTGTCGCCGCCTATTCAGCCTTTGGTCGGAACTTGCTTTTCTACGGGCCAGGGTGCCCTTAGAACAAGTGTCCTGGCATGTCGTTGTCATGACAGATGCCTGCAATACGGGCTGGAGCGCTACGTGCAACGGGCAGGCAGCTTCGGGGTCCTAGACAGGACCTCAACTGCTTTGGCAAATCAACTGTCTGGAGTTGTTGGCAGTGCATCTATCCTTGTTGGCAGTGCATCTAGCCTTGCGGCAGTTCCGGCCGCTGCTGCTGGACAAGCACGTGTTGGTCCGAACGGACAACAATGCGGCTGTTTCGCACATCAACCGTCAGGGCGGTCTACGATCACGTCGCATGTCTCCTCCTCTGGAGTCAGACGTGGCTCAAATCGCTGCGCGCCGTCCACATTCCGGGGAGCTCAATCATGCGGCCGACGCGCACTCACAACATCTCACTTTCCCCGGAGAATGGCGACTCCATCCCCAGATGGTTCAGCTGATCTGGAGTCGATTCGGGGAAGCTCAGGTTGTCCTGTCCTCCTACTGCCAGTTGTACTATTCCCTGACCCAGGCCCCCCTGGGCACGGACGCACTGGCACACAGCTGGCCTCGGGCTCTACGCAAGTATGCGTTTCCCCCAGTGAGTCTGCTCGCACAGACACTGTGCAAGGTCAGGGAGGACGAGGAACAGGTCCTGCTGGTTGCGCTTTACTGGTCCACCAGGACCTGGTTTTCGGAACTCATGCTCCTTGTGACAGCCCCTCCCTGGCGCATCCCCGTGAGGAGGGACCTCCTTTCTCAGGGGCTGGGCACCATATGGCACATGCATCCAGTTCTCTGGAACCTCCATGCGTGGCTTCTGGATGGGACGCGGCAGACCTAGTGACCTACTGCCAGCGGTGGTAGACACTATCACTCAGGCTAGAGCTCCCTTTACGAGGCCTGCCTATGCTTGAAGTGGAGTCTGTTCACGATTTGGTGTTCTCACCGAGAAGACCCCCGGAGATGCTCGATTAGAGTCGTGCTTTCTTTCCTGCAAGAAAGGTTGGAGCGTAGGCTGTCACCCTCCACCTTGAAAGTGTATGTCGCTGCTATCGCAGCAGATCACGATGCAGTGGACGGCCGGTCCCTGGTAAAGCATGACCTGATCGTTAGGTTCCTGAGGGGTGCCAGAAGGTTGAATCCTTCTAGAACACTCCTGATACCCTCCTGGGATCTCTCTATTGTCCTGGCTGGACTTCAGAGGGGTCCCTTTGAGCCGCTTCAGTTGAGCTAAAGTTCCCGTCTCTTAAGACAGCGCTCCTGGTTGCACTCACTTCCATCAAGTGGGTCGGGGACCTCCAAGCATTTTCGGTAAGTGAAGAGTGCCTTGTGTTCGGGCCGACCTACTCTCACGTTGCATATACAGTACATGGACCACACCCAGAGCTTCAGAAGCTCTGAGCAGCTCCTTGTCTGTTTTGGAGGTGTCCCGTAAGAGCATTACGCATATACGTGGACCGCACCCAGAGTTTCAGAAGCTCTGTGCAGCTCTTTGTCTGCTTTGGAGGCCAGCAGAAAGGGAAGGCTGTCTCCAAGCAGAGGTTGGCCCACTGGAAAGTGGATGCCGTCGCCTTGGCGTACCAATCCCACGGCGAGCCGTGCCCCCTGGGGGTGAGAGCCCACTCCACTCGGAGTGTTGCCTCCTCTTGGGCGCTGTCTGCTCTCTGGCAGACATCTGTCGAGCTGCGGGCTGGGTGACACTTAACACCTTTGCGAGGTTTTACAACCTTCGTGTAGAGCCGGTTTCTTCCCATGTGTTGGGTAACAGGTAATTGGCAGGAAGATCTGGCTCGGTGTCAGGCTTGCTGCGCCATTCCCCCTCACACGGGGATGC